GAAGGTGCTCTCGCTATCTTCCTTGGAAGGTTATCTTGGATTGGTCTGCCCAAAAGAATTTCTGCAGGTGATGGTAGCTTGTTGTCAATGGGTGTTGACCTTAAGTTTAGCATCGCCATGNATAGAGTCATCACACTTGCACCGTGAAACAAAATCAAAGAAGTAGTAACTATTAGTTTTTATTTACTGACTATTTGTATGAAATGTAGATATTCACTGAACCAAAACAATTCTTAAAAACAAAAGGTAATACACAAGAGACTTGGAAGCCAAACAACGTTATTAAAAGCTACCTAATGAAGAAGGAGGAATTTGTTAAAAAATGTCCCACCCAAAATTAAGGAAAGAAATAAAGAGCTGCTCGTTTAGTTCTTTGTTAAACCCAGAGGAAAGATGTCGGGAAGGGCTAGAACTTGTGTTAAATATAGGCTTCATGGAAATCGAGTTTATTGAAAGGACAAAAAGAGTTGATTATAGGGTGAAAGTGAAATAGATAGCTATAAGTAACTAACTTTATAACTGTTACGAGTGCTGCTTGAAATAATGATTTGGTAACTAATGTCCCATGCTCAAAAGGTACGTATCTCACAAACATTTCCGAAATGATTAATAAAATTTATTGTGTTTTATTTTGAGCTTCAAGCAAAGTATAAATATAAAACGTCGCCGCTGGTTGTTGTCAAGTCGCTTTTTTATATTGACTAGTCAAATAACTCAGCTTTGAGCGATAGAATTCGTTCGAAACCACGTTGTTTATAGATTTTTTGCGGGTCATTTCAGTGCGTCTTGTCTTGATATTTAGTTTAGGCTCTTATAATAAACTCGTTAGAAAACACGTTCATTTGCGTACTGGGTTTGATATTGTTACAGTATTTTCAATTTAGCCTTACAATGTCTTCTATCTTAATTTTGCTGCGGCGCAGAGAATAAAGATTCCAAACGCGTTTCATTTAGTCTTGTGTGGTTATTTTAGCTTTAGACTTGTCTTGTGTCTTGATTCTACAGCAGCGCAAATAAATAAAGATTCGTTAAACGCGTTTCCTTGCGTATTGTGTGGTTATTTTAGATCTAGATGTGTCTTTTGTCTTGATTGTACATGAAATAAAGATGGCAGTTGTCAAGTCTCCTGTGTATTGCCTTTTGTTTTCATGAACTGTGTTCTGGTTCAGTAATATCTACTATTAGTCAATAAATAGACACTAATATTTACTGTTTATTTTGATCATATTTCACGGTGCAAGTGTTATGACTCTATTATGTATCTAATAGTATTTTTCCCTGCATATAAACTAATTAGCTTAGAAATGAAGTAGCAAATCAACGTATTAGCATACTAGAAAGTTAAGCCCCGTCTACACGAGCARTTTTTATGTGGCAATTTTTATGTGACAACATTCAATTGCCCGTGTAGATGAGCAAAATTGGCCAATTTTTATGTGATAACTGTAGTTGCTGGATAGCTGACAACTARAAATTGTCACATATCGAAAATTGACCGTGTGGACGAGCGTCACATAAAATGTGTCTCAACATTTTGTACACCAACCAAGATGGTGACGTCGATAGTAAGCAGAGCGACCGGATCGACGGAGAGAATGGTATTATTGTTGTTGTAAGAGCTAAAACCAACCAAATTTRCTTTTTTTATTGGTATCTCCGCTRTGCAAAATCACACTTGCCGCGAATCTTCGACAATTGTTTGCTGCCTGTCCACACGGACAAATAAAAATTGCCGCATATATTTGTCACATAAAAATTGTTCGTGYAGACGGGGCTTTAATCAATAGTCGACAAGAGGGGTGATTACTTGATAATGTGTTTTGCGACAATCATGCTTTCACCATAATTGGTAATAAAAACATTAAATATTGAGCGATATAAATGGCCTGAAACTTCACAGAACTTTACATATAGACAGAGATGTCTAATTTTGTTTTGATAAAAACAACACAAATGCTTTAGCCTGGGCTACTGCATGTGGGCTACCTGTGGGCAATAACTATAAGGAGGGGGTAAATATCTAGAGGAGTGGGGGGTGGGCAACCTCGTCCACAGGTCCTTTTCCAAGAGGAGAAAGAGCCCTGGCATCGCCAGGTAAAATATGACTGTTGATTGGCTAAGATTTTTCTCACTTTTCGTCGCTTGCTTATTTGTTGTGATGCCGGTTTTGTCCGGAAAAAATTGAAGAAATTCGGCGGACAGTTAGTAATTCTCAATAAATTATTTCGTTCTATATAGGTCGTACTACAATCATGGAATATATTTTTGAGGACACCCTTTATGTTAAGTTGTTTTTCCAAAGGATAGGCATTTATCAAAATGAGGTCTTACCTGGAASTGCTGAAGCAATACATGCCAYCATTGGCTAAAATATTGTGTACAWTACAAAACGAACAATACAAATACATGGTGTACGGCATATTAATTCCYCCATTGTAGGTCCATCATGGCAATTAATGGACTTCTTATTCATGATGATTGTGTATCTCATCATTCCATTCTTGGATTTCAAAGTTTTCTATTCTCTTGTCTATTGTTTTCATAACAGAATTTATGATGAACACTATTTTGCTTTATACCAAATTACCGCTGTCCCTGACACTTTGTGCGCATCAAAGTTTCATTTCATTTTGTTTTCTTTTTTTTTCATTTTCATTGTATTGATTGCATWGTGCTAGTGAGCCAGATTTGTTTACATTCTGGACAGATGATCTATTCCTAGGGTGTTGGTTGTATTTTCTTTCAAATCTCTCACGTCTTCTAYTTTTCTTAGGGCCTCATAGAACTCATACATTCGAAAAAATGTCAGTTTGGGCTACCTGTGTAATTCACGTTGAGGAATATAGCGAGTTGGTACCGAGAAATGCCTGACGTCATGGTGGACCCGCTGGATCGAGACCCGCTACCACGATGACGTCACAGGTCCCAGGCTCCAAGGAGCTAGGCTCTTTGTTTTAACTCTGGCGCMTAAATAAATACGACGCAAAATACACCAACATGCTAAGAATAGATTATATTTTCTCGTCCAAAATGTAAAAAAATGTGGTTCACAGGCACTTTAAGTGACTTATCAAATCTTTTAAAAAAAGTATGTTAATTAATGGAGTTAAGATGAGATCGAAAAGTAAGTTTCAGGTATAATGATTCTCACGATTTCTCACACACAGGCGATCATATCCGCACACCTACAAAAAATAGAAATATATTGCATTGTTCTTTTCTCTCTGAGAAAAAAACAAAAAAACAAAAAAAACAAAAAAAAAACAAGTGTATACTTTATATTTTTCGTAAAATGTTAAGACAATAAAAAGCAGACTGCATGCATGTTTATCTTGAAAAGTATGGGGAATCTTTCGCAGAGAAGTGTCTTAAGGTAATTATGCATTATCCCCCTGCAGTAGTTATCAAATCATGTTTATCGYTGTACGCCAGTAATAACGTCATGTTATTCTGTGTCAAGCGTCAATCGCTGCAGTGGCTGAATGTTTCTCTTTGCCCCCGAAACATCAAAAGCTCGTTTAACGTAAGTCTTTCTAATTACCGGTTATGTCTATCT